GAACATCAAAGCCCTGTTACCATTTTTTTTTATCCTGTATGAACACAGCATGTCTATATTCTCTCCAAAGGTCTTGATATTGCTTTTTCTTCTGTTAGTATTGTACAAATCATACACAATCTTGGCTTGTATATTTGAATTACCTTTGCTCTTTCTGACTGATACTTAGTCAGAAGTGCTCAACTTGGAGAAACATTTTCTTAAATACCTTGCATCATAGAATATAAGTTGTAGAGAGAACAGAATATATAGCACCAATTCACTGTATAGTTTATTCCTCTATTTGTGTGCATTTTTAGAAGAGGAAAGATAGTTATGAACAGAGTTCTAGTGTATTTTGGAGACCATCATTGCACAGTTGCTTGCATAAAGGATTAAACCTTAAGCATAAATGAGAGAAGTATAAATTTGCAGCAATCTCTGTGGGGAAGAAGGAATTTTGTTTTATGCATTTCCTTTATTCTGTTTCATGTCCTTTTTTATAGGATTTGCTTGAGGTCTGAGTTCTCATATGTAAATAGGTTTGTCTTGTCTCCAGTGCTTTATGTGGGTACACAATAGGACTTTTTTCTACTTATCACTAGCCAGTCATTCAAAAAGTCCTTTCTGTTTCTGTTGCAAATGTAGGTCTGTTCTAGGCTTTCAATGTCCCTTCTTCTCATAGAGAATAAACACTCTTTTCTGTGCTTTCAAATGCAGGTGTGTATGGACAGAACACATCAATCAGTATTAGAGAAGCCAAGCTTATTTCGCTATTACCACAGATACTAATTTGTGTAAGCATCTGCTTTAAAGTATGCTATGAAAATTTAAAATTTCTTTTGCAAATTAGAAGGGAGTTTGTACAGATGAGTTTTATTTTCCAGCGACAGAGATCTCAATTCACCATGTCCATTCTCTCATTCTCTGTATTAAAGGCTTTCATTTGTAGGCAGTAATCATATTTTAGTTTCAGCTTAATGGTGTGTAACTCAGTGTGTATGTCCTTACAAGAAGCCTGTAGTAGATCTGAAGAGGTACAGGCTGCCTTATTTAAAACTCTTAATGCTTTGTGGTCTTGCAGCCAAGGAATTTGTCTGATGGATTTTCATTTTGCTGGCTTAGCAAGGCTGTTGCAGGGGTTAGCAGGGAATTGGAAGCATGCAACTTGGAGGGTAAAAGTAGAGGACACTTTCTAAAGATCAAGTCACCATCTTCACAAGGGATTCCTCAAGTAAAATCTTGTATTTTCACAGAATCATATTGCTTGAATAAATGGTCAAAGTTGAAAAACAACTGGGCATCAAATTGCCACTGCATGCAGTAAGAGCTGACAGGTCTCCTAATTTAGAAAAGGCAGCTTAGGTTTGGTCTCTCAGAGCCAGGATCTCTGCCTGCCAGTGAGAACATCTGTCAGGAATGCCTATCCATCCCAGCGGCTGGCGGAAGGACCAGATGACCTCTGAGTTCACTTCTAGCCCTGCCTGATTATGTGAAAACAAAACTCTTCCCGAGGGGGTGGCAGAGGCAGCTGCCAGCTCAGGACAAAGAGCTGAGCCTTCAGCAGCAGCTGCTGCAAGGAGTTTGGAGGAGGCAGCACTTTCCAATATAATGGCATGAAATGACAGATGGCACCTTCTACCCTGCCATTATGGTGAGGAAGGATCTGCGTGAGAGAGCTTCCTGTTTTGCCATCTACTGGGATGTGTTGTGGAGGATTAAAAACACCTCTCTGAACTTTCTATGAAAGTACTTGTGCAGCTGAATTAGATTAGAATCACCACGCTGGCATTTTGTTAAATGAAAGCAGCTGAGTAACAATGAGGGAAGAGAGCTGTGATCTCGACATGTTTCTGATGCTGTTTTATCAGGGGCATGACTCTTTTATTTAAACTGATACAATCTGTCCTGTTGCACAACAATCAAGCTATTGTGGGGAGAAGGTGCCTTTCTCCCAGGTGGCCTTTTCTTTCAGTGTAGGACCTTTAAACAGGCAGAAGCTGTGCTATTTCATACATAGATAAGGCAGAAAATGAACAGGCTGTAAGAACAAGATTGACCTTCCCTCTCCTTCCATCTACACACACACACACATCATTAAGATAAACTGCACAATCCAACTGAGCAGGAAAGTTTTTTTGGGAAAAATCCACTTAAAATTAAATAAGTGTAAAAATACATTTGAAAAGATGTGAGTTTTAACACAAACTAACTCTCATCATGGGGTTGTGTAAAGAAATGAATACCAGCCATTGTGTTCATCCACACCGAAGTTAATTTGCTTCTCTAAAGAAAAGGTTTTGAATAATCTGCCCACCATTCCTGAAAAAATTCTTCATGAATCATCAGTATTTTATTTTCACTTTGCTCTCTCCCAGGACAAAATGAGTAAAAGATGGGTTGTGCTTTCCTTACTGTGCAACCCATTTGCCATTTTCATACTACTAAATAGGAGACATGTTCTTTTAGAGAAAGAGAGATTCCTGTTGCTGGAAAGATTTGTTAGGAGTAGGGTCAATGTGATACATTCCCTAGCCTGCAAAATCCAAGTCATTTTTTCTGGTGCTGGTATGGGGCACATTGTTACCCAGTGGATGCTCTCAATGGAAAATGTTTTCTTCCTAGTTATTATTAGACTTCTTTTGGCTTTTGATTTCTGGTGATCAAAAGAACCCTGTAGTCCTACTGAGAGAAAGAGATGCTATCTCTGCTGTAGCCAAGACATGATATATACGTGGCTTTGAAATTTAGAACCAAAGCTTTACTCGGGAAGCGAGAGACCAAAGGCAGGATCAAAGTTTAGGAGTGATGCATGTATGACAGCATCAGCTGGGCTGCAGCATGCCTGGCAGGGAATCGCTATAAAGGTAACACCCACAGGTGCTTACAGAGTGAATTAGCAGTTCTGAGGAGGGAGTGCAAGGTGAGTAGAAGTGCTTCTATGTTGCTGAGGTTTTGTTTTCTTGTTTAAGTTTGTGCAATTTATTGAATTTATTTACTTAAAAGGTACCAATGCCTTGTAATTTTTTTTTTTTTTTAATTTTATGCAAGATCTACCAGTGCTTTCTACCTCAACCCCCCGGACTGTCAAATAAGGCACCTTATTCTTTCAGATAACTGGAAGCAAGATCAGCTAACATGCCAGCTCCCTCTCCTCCAAGTTTTTTAACTTAATTTCAGAATTATTTTGGCACACAGCAGCTGCAGTAACTTGAAATTCATGATAAGAGATTAATGATTTGCTGTATATACTCCTAAAAGTCTTCAGATGTGTATATTACAGAACTGCATGCCAGCAAGGGTCAGAATTAAAACTTCCCTTCGTATAACAAAGATTTTAAACACGTCACCTTTAATATTCATTCTCTGGCTCCTGGCATGTCTGTTTCATATCTGACATTCGTGGTGTTGACTGACTCCCAACAACCTGCAGCTGAAAGGACTTAATGCTTTTCATCTTTCTAAGCAGACATGAACAAATTAATCCGCCCCCAAATCCTGTGATGGTGGAGACACAATCATTTTATGGAGCCACGTACATGACTTGCTCAAGGTCGTCTGCTGTTGTTGGACTTAGAGCCAGGATTAGGATTCAGGTCTTAATTCAGGCCCCCAGTCCTCTGCTCAGATAGCTATGGCATGCACTTCTGTGCAGCTTATGGACAATAGTTCTTTTGCCTAAAAATGTTCTCAGAATTACAGTTAGAGGTTGTAAGAAATCGAGGAGGTCATCTGGATTTATTGCAGCAGCAGCCAGCACAGGTACGAACTCTGTGGGTTCACACTGTTATGCTACAATGTAAGGGAACAGAGACCACATTTTTTACCTGGGGGAAAAAAACCCAAACTAACCCAAATAATATCTATTATCCTTATGAATAGCAATTAAAACATCATTGGCAGTGTTTCCTAGCTGCTTTGCAGACTTGCCATTCGTCTACGCAGAGCTCAAAAAAGCTTTACAAATTTCAGACAGCAGATCACGTTTAGGAAAAAGATTTTACAAAGCTCCTAATGTTCAGGTCTTTCTTCTAACCACCTCAGTAATACACTAAGCATTATTGGAAAGACTAAGGTCTGAACAGCTTTATAAGAGGCAGGAGATAAAAATGGGAATCCTGTTATATACAGCTTTCTGCACATTGTAAATGCAGAAACCTGCATTTCAAATTAATTCAGCAACAAAAATCCTATTGATTTTTAGCAGTGGAGGAATGCATTCATTCTGTATTTTGCCACGTGAATTTTCTCAGAGCTCAGCGAGGCTACTCAGAATAATCCCAGCTTGCGGGACTGTTTAGGTCTTAAAGAGATGTTGTCCTGAAGTAATTTGCATTTTATAGCTTTCATGGTTTGTGTATTGAATTGACCTTGATACTGAGTCACCAAAACAAGAATTTTGTGACCTGTTTCTCATCCCCAATTTCATTCTGACATTTCTCCAAATCGAAAATGGATGTTCATTTTTAAAAGCTTGAATTTGCGATTTTACAAAACAAAAATTAATCAAAGAGTGCCTGTACGTTCCTTCCAATTTTGAAAGCAATAGTGCTTTAGTTTTCAACTCCAGATGGCACTGCGGTGCTTACCACCACCCCGCTGGGGAGGGCTGATGGAATGCAAAAGCAGGCGAGCCCCTGAAAAACAAGGGCTTGCTTGTTTTATGAGAAATCAGCTAAGAGTTTTTCCGTGCAGATGTCCTATTTTGCTTTCAGTTCGGTGAAGGCTGGGCTAACAAATGGCAGCTTATATGCCTGAGATAGGACTTGAGGAAAGAAAGGACTTGCTTGTCTGTACTTGCGGGAGGTCACAAGGGTAGTAGCCCTTGCCTGCACCAGCAGAGCCTAATACAGCCCACACTACTGCCAAATGAAGGGAGAAGCTCTGCTGTTGCACAGCGCTTCGTATTCATGGTGACTAATCCTATCGCTGTGTAACTGGTAATTCTGCTTTATAAAAATGTATTTTCTAGGCTGGACTGCAAACCGCTGAAGTAATGAGGTTACTGATATCTTTTCTAGGGAAAGCCATAGACATTACCGCTTGGAAGATATCCTTTGCCATGTCATGCTATCACCTAGACTATTACAAAAATGCCTACAATAAATAATATTCTTCCTTCATGTTCATCCATTGTAAACTTGGGAATAGGATGTTTATATGTCTGCTTAATGATACACTCACACGCATCTATACTGCATCTTTCCTTACATATTTTTCTACAGATTCTATCCCCTTAGCTTTATATTCATCCTCATTTTGTAGAAGTCTGCCAGACTCCTGTTCTTTTAATGCTTCCTAGCTTTTACTGTAATTCTCCAGTTTTGCATACAATAATTTCTAAATGCTTGTTACATGGCCTATGGACCCAGCTGAAGTTTCCAGCTCCCACTGCACAATTACTAAACCATTGCTCAACCCAAGTCTCAGTAAAATCACTCGTTCTTCTGTGCATTTCATCCAACAGAGTTCTGGAATTTGCTCCATAGGCCACGATATCCTGTTTGAGTCCAAGCAAAACTCTAAGAGTTTACATGGGCTCATTTGCAGCATGTTGTATTTTTAACTGAAGTAAATCCTTTCCCATAAGTTAATGAAGCAACTGAAGATATATAGAAAGGGCAGGCAATTTGTCATACATCTTCCAGCACAGATGACTGTTTCATTACAAAAAGTTTATGGAAAAGAGATGGGCTCATAAGACAAAAAAAGAATAAAAGTGAGAGAGAGATGACTGTTTTAAACAGGCAGGACCTTAAAATAGCCTTGGTTCTCTCTGAAGCACCATATGGAACACTTTTCCAAAAGCATAAAAGTTCACACACACCTGCCCCCACACAGAGAGGGTGTCCTTAAGCTCCCCCTAGAGTTATGAAATATTAGTGTATTTGTCATGTCTGGTAAATGAGTAGCTCAAACACTAAACAATCCTGAATGTCCTGCATTACTAATGATGCCTCTGGAGACTGAGAACCTGTACCACACCTGCTTTTGTTCCATAGCTCTGTGGTCCTTAATTGTCTTCTCCCACCTCAAAGTTGTGTAAGGACAGCGGTGGCTCCTGACAGCATGGCTGATATGGTATCGGCCTATGTGACACAACAGACAAATATTTCTTCTTTCAGAATGTGTTCATGTCCCTTCTAGGTCTTCTGAATAAAACTCAAAAAATGTCCTGAAATCAATTCTTTTAAGTTCAAAATAAACTTTAATGTAAGAAAACTGTCTCAAAGTAAAATTTATATACATTGTATTTACAATTTTGCTGCTGACAAGGTAACATTTACATGTAGTAACTTGCATTACTCACACTTATATAGGCTCCACTCAGCGTTAGACTGAAACCAGTGCCAGAGCAAATGTCTGAAAAAAAACCCCCTTTTATGTATAACCATGACACGTATGATGAAAACAAAAAAATATAAATATCTAACCTAAGGAGAAAAAAAACCAAAGCACTGTTGTTACATCATTAGAAAAACAGGACTGGCAGTAGAAATTATGTACATTTTCTGAAGAGACAAGTAGAGTTGTGGTGAATTGACCCTGTCTGGATGCCACCAAACCCGCTCTATCACTCCCCTTCTCAGCTGAGCAGGGAGAGAAAATGTAAGGAAAGGTTCATGAGTCGAGATAAGGACAGGGAGAGATCACTCACCAGTTACTGTCACGGACAAAACAGAATCCACTTAGGGAAATTACTTTATTGGTAATTTATTACCAATCAGGAGTCTCACATACTTAAAAAGGTTGCAGATTGGGGGTTTTTGCCTCCTCTTACGTGCCCAGGAAGCTGTAAAGTGTAACACAAATGACACAAGTGCAAAACAGAGAAAGGAGACAGTATCTGAAGAAAATTAAGAATGGAAGTAATATCTATGGATAGTGCAGCCTCTCCGAACTGAAGCAGGAGAATTAAACATTGGATGGAATGTAATGCAAACTGCTTTGCACAAAAGGAGTGGGTTTGTGTCCTAATTACTGTCCTGTGGAAACTGATTCTGCCAGTTCCTTTATGGGCCATCTAGCCCTCTCTTTGCTTGCTGACGAAAAAGGTGCAGAACTTTTATGAATGTTTCTTCCCTAATTTAGGTCTAAACATGTTTGTTCATTTGTTTGGTTTTTTAAAGTACTACTTTGTTGCTGAACAGCCTCATATTTCACTCTTTGCTTCTGCTAAAGTTGCTGCCAGATGAGGGCTGGGTGTGGGGGATGTGACAATATTAAATGCAGAAGTAGCGGTATCCCGAACAACCATGTACTTTGGGGGTCAGAGTCCTTTCACTCTCTTTTCAGCTTTCAAAACAAAGGAGCAGCATTTATGAGATCACATAAAATTTTAAGCCAGTTAGAACTATAGTTCCGAGAGATTACTTTAGAACTAGATATTTTATTATTTTGGAGTGTTGCATAAACATTCCAGAGAATGTTCCTTGGTTTTCCCGCTGAAGTTTTACTGTGCAATACTTGCCTTTTCTCTAATAAACTATTTGCACATGTTCACTTGTTTCTTTGAAAATCTGGTTTTGTGGAAATATAAATTTTAGCTTTTACATTTTTTCCACTGCTTCTCTTCCTCTAAAGGGAACAATTCATCCTCCTCTTCATGCCAAAATGATTGGTAGAAGTGCTAGGTTTTTTAAGTTTACCTGTTTTCTTACAGCCATAGGTATGTAGGCAGATTTATAAAACTATTAGGATGGTGACACATTCCTATTTTTAATGAGAAAATAAACAAGCTAAGGCAGAAGTTTTATGGCTCATCAAAATAAAGAGCCAAACTTCTGAAGTTTCTCATCCTGAAACTGTCTAAATGCACAACTAATGCAAGTTTTTGTTATCTATCACTTTTTTTATCATTATGAAAATAGTGTCTTTGGAGCCTGCTGGCAGAAATCATTCTTAGAAAACGACCATCATGTTGTTGGTATGTCTTCATATCTGGGCTGACATTTCAAACATCCCATCCCATTTTCTGAAACAAGCAGACCACACCATTTTCCAAAATTAATCCAAAGAAGATGGCAAACCAAGGGAGTATTCGGTTCAAGTTCAATGTAACTGCAAAAGGAAACAGAACAAATTTATCACGTATCATTTAAGATCATAGAAACCACAGATCTGTTAAAAGTCTGCATTCCAAAGCCATGCATAAAATTAACATGAAATTTTGATTTTCCAGAAACACAGAATTCTATGTTTCAATGATCCATGAGGAGTTGTCTCAAATTCTAATTTAGGGATCTAATGGATATAATACAGCTTATACAAAGAGATAATAGTGAGATGAGGTGCTTTTTCTTTTTTTTAATGAAGTTTTTTGTTTCATTTTCTATTAAAGTCTAAGTAACACAGTTTTAAGCTAGATCTATCATTCACATTTCTGATATTGAATAAAAATAAAGAAAGAATAATGGCTTTTGTAACAGCTGCAGTCTCTCACACACATTCTACACACATAATGTAATAAAAAAAGCAAAAATATACCTCTAATTGCTTGAGAGTTTGATATCAAGACAAACACTTTTATAAATGCAAGGCACAAAGGTGTGTAGTCATGTTCCCAAATAACAGCTGGGATTAGCAAAAGCTTTCCATAGGTGGACAACAGCAGTGCTTTGAGGAGTAAAATGAAGTCAGACTTTCTTTTCAGCATTTCAGGTGTCATCCACCATAAGGTAATAAAAATGCCAATGAAAAATGAAGTTTGTTCTAAAAGGGAATAAGAGGAGTTGGAAAGAGAGAATGAAGAACAAAATCAATACTTGTCCTCTTTGGAAAGGTCACCAGCAATGAACCCTTTTCATCCAGCCTAAGAAAAAACACTAACGTGAAAATACCATTGAGCTACTAGACTTTTTTTGACACCACATTCCTGTGTTATGGTGGAATTAATGCAGATGTCAAAGACCCTCTCATAACAACTGTAATAGATGAGTTACTACTGAAAATGAGTTCAACATTTTTACTGACTTGTTATAAAAACTTACTTATAGCAACATTAGACAATATAAGATTTAAATTAAACTCTGAATGTCTAAGAGAAATACTAGTTTTAATCTCCAAGTTTGATGTCAATAGTTTGATACTATCACCTGAAAAGTATGAGAATAAATGTATTAACCAACATAAAACAAAAACCCTCCCCTGCCCTCAAATGTAGTCTTGGAGCACAGATGTGTTTATTCTTTACTGGTCTGTATTTTGGCGCATTTGTTTAAGAAAACCCCAAAACAACAGATACAGCTTTTTCCAACTGTTTACTTTTGTAAGGCTCTTCAATGTTGCAACACCTTAATGACTAATAAACCTTGAAGTCAATATCAAATATGGAATAAGGCTGACACCTACACTGGTCTTCAAACTATGCCAACAGATTCAGGCAAAGATTTCTGAGTATTGTCACTTTTCAGTGTTTTCATATCTAATGCTAATCATACTGGTCTAAATTGTAGTCAGGATCAAAACAGGCATTTAATAAAATAAAGGCAAGTTGAAGAGCATGTGTGTAATGGTGTAACCATACTGGATTTGACATAACATCCATTCTGTATGTATTTTTGCAATATGGGCTTGAAAGACTGATGAAGTTTTGCAATGCTTAAAAAGCAGACAGTGAGATATCATCAATCTTACCTAAAGAAGCTATGCAAAACATTCTATAAAAATCCCATTCTTTGGCATATCTGATTAAGTCATCAGGATCTGTGTTTTGGCTTGAATCCTGTAGCTGCAACCACCTGATATAAGCTTCACAGAGCAAACAAAATATGCAGAGCTTTCCATGAATCTAGTAAATGAACAAACAATAAAAGCATTAGTACTGAATCAGCATAAATTAAAGCATTAGTATGAAATCAGTATTTAAAATGCATTTCAACATCTTTACACAAACAAGCTCCATAGGTTTATTATTTTTCTTTAGAATATAATCAAAACTACTTCTGTTGAACCACTAGGTTAGCACATCATCCTTTTAACATCACTTACAACAACAGACAAATTACAACAAGTGGAAAACTGCATGAACAGTTCAATACAGAAGAACGTATATAACTGTAGTTTCTAAACTCTGATCCATACCTTTTCAAAATTGGGAAGGCTGTTTCATCTACGAACGCAAAGCCAAAATTGTAGCACAGCTAGGAGAATTATACTATCCAAAATTCCAGTTTAAGGGCAACTCTCCCATTTAGCAAACTGGCTTATATAGCCTTGTTTTTCTTTTTCACTGGGACAATCTCCATTAGAAGAAATAGGTAGTCTAGTTATACCAAAATATTTCTTAGTTCGTAAAGGATGAGGCACCAAAAATAAATGGAACAATATAACCAAACAAAACTAAAAAAATATCCTCTGAAGTGACTGGAAAAATGATGTCGTGAGGGCCCAAAGTTAGCATGATTCCACATTAAACAGCTTATAAACTGTGTGTACGTGAGGTGACTTCTGATTTTATAGAGATTTAAAGGCATGAATGCAATTTCTGTGCATGGATTCTATTTTTTCCATTAGAGGCGAGTCATGCCAATTGCCCGTACATGCACAGGCTTAGCTAGTTAAAAATTCAATTCAATTTATTTGAATAGATGACATCTCCACAGATAGAACAGTTCTTCAAGAACCCTCACAGTAAACATCATTACCAGTCTCCAGAAGCACTGAATTAATAAAAAATATTAAGTGAGATTTATGCTTGAGAGATGAGGTGAGTATATATATATCAACATTGCTTAAGGTGGACTGGCTGGGAGGCATCAACACGAACACAGCACACACTTATGCTTGGATAGTTTGCTCTAGATTAGCTTCCCTCTCCTCAGAAATCAATCCTTACAGTAAAAATACACAATTCTGTCAGAAAATATACACCTGTAAACTACAGCCTGGCCAGCCCAACAAAGTTGATTACACAACTCTGCATCAACAACATTTGAATCTTTTGCTGTAGCTTTGAGAGCAGGGCTAATTACTCAGGAAGAAACTCATGAGAAATTAGTACAGTAGGTTTAGTTAGAAATTAACAGTAGGTTAATTGAACTGTATGAACAGTTTGATACAATTCCTTCTCTTTAATGGGTAAACTGACTGCTGTATTTGCTGGTAGTGTCTTCACTACTGTGAAGACAGAAACTGTCTTAGTAACATCTGGAGCTTGAGATTTCATGTGTTCTATTCATTATATAACTGGTTCAGCTTGCTGAAATCTGTGGAAGGGCAGGAGAAGAACAATCTCTAAAATTTTATAACTATTACAATCAACTTACCAAATCTAAATATATTTTTAACCAAAAAAGTCACAAAGTAGGGGCATAGCAACTTACATTTATCTTTGTATTGAAAAGAATGTGCCTGTATGCTTGTGCTTTACATAAAACAGCATTAATCAAGATGATAACAGGATCATATTCGATATATTTGTCCACAGGTTTCTGGCAGGATTTCTGAAAGTTAAAAATAACAAGAATTAGGGGAAAAAATAGAAAGCGAGAGTTTATGAAATGTTCCTATAAGCTTAGCACAACTACATAAATCCAAACTAGCTATTCAATTCATTTTAGTCTTTCCTTAATGTAAACTTCATTTTCAATACCTTTTGAATCCATGTAGAAAAATTGCTTCCCCTCTCTTGATACTGCAGTTGACACACAGACTTCCCATATAAAACATAAAGGTACATTATCAATTTTTACAGACTTCAGACTAACACCAATAATAAACTATGTAAGCATGGACCTAGTTATCATTTTGTACTCCACAGATGCAAAAAATAAAACTACCTTCCTAAGACTCAAGAAACGCACCAGTATTGTGCTAAAAGGTTAACTTATCATGCCTCATCTACAGGTATTTAATTTGGGTTATTTTTGGTAATTTTTTTGAAAGAAACCCAATTTCTTTTATCACTTCCTTCTTTTCAGAGATGCTTTATCCTCTTATCCTACCTTCTTCCTTTCAAGAAGACAGTAAATATATTTTGTTGCTGCATTGTTATTCCATACAGTTGTCTGGATGTTTCAACTGATTTCCCGTTATTGAACAAATACCAATTTATTCAGAATACTGTTTTCATACACAGCTATAGCCAAAGAGTCAGAAGGTGACACTAAACAATAGTAGGACACTAGACCATTACTTCTTCAGTACATCTGTTGGTTGCTGCTGTTCCTGCTGGAGAGGTTGTTTCACCCAGACCACTGGGAACTGCTTGTTATCAACCCCCTCCTGCTTTATTGACCTGCCTGCGTGGCTGATCACTCCTTGACTTGGGTTAAATGAGAGGGGCTAACAAAAGGCTGTTACAGTTACTGTGAGCAGGAAGGTTAAATAACAGTCTTACAAAAGGCTCGCCTTGCAGACCTGGGGGAGAAATAATTTCTAGCAGAGAGCTGAGGAGCAGCAGCAACCACGTCAGCTCAAACAAGTGCACTTGCAGAAGGGTGCTTGCCTGCAGGTCAGCTTTCTCCTGCTCCTGATCCTCCAGTTTGCCTTCTTGTTTCCTCCAACCTGTCCTCAGCTAATCCTACTCCCCTGGGTCTTGGCATTGGTTGCCATGCTCAGAGTACAACAGTCCTAGAAATTGACCTCTATTTCCATTTTAACGAGTGCATGGCTGTGTGCTGCCAGAAGAGACATATATGTACCCCGCTTTCTGAAATGCTGGAACGGTCAAAAATGCAGCATCAGACAGCACACACCTACAGACAAACTCCCAGGAAAGGACAAAAAGTTTTTTCAATTTTATAGATTTTTTATTTCTCTTGTACAAACAGCAACCAAGTATCACGCAGCTGCTAGCTCACTTTCCCCTCAACGGGATGAGGATGAGAATCAGAAAATAGTAAAATGCACAGGTAGCAATATGAACAGTTTAATAATTGAAATAAAGTAAAATATAGTAATAATAGTGATGAAATGGAAGATAAGAATAGAGAGATAAGACCCAAGAGAAACAAGCGCCGCACAGTACAATTTCTTACTACCCATGATCGATGCCCAGCCTGTCCCTGAGCAGTGATTGGTCCCTCCCAGGCAACTCCCCTCAGTTTATATACTGGGCACGACATTCTATGGTATGGAGTATCCCTTTGGTCAGTTTGGATCAGCTGTCCTGGCCATGCTCCCTCCCAGCTTCTTGTGCACCTGCTGGCTGGCAGAGCATGGGAAACTGAAAAGTTCTTGATGTGGGGTAAGCACTACTGAGCAACAACTAACCCATCAGTGTGTTACTGGCGTTATTCTCACACTGAATCTAAAACACAACACTGTACCAGCTACTGGGAATAAAATTAAATCAGCCAAAACCAAGAAGCGTCCAAAGTTAACTCTGCCTTGCTATTTAACAGAATTATTATTGTAGAATCTGAGAATGCAAAATTTCATCAGCAAATTGACTCAAAAGTCCAACACCTATATAAAGAAAAACATCCAAGCAAACGCATAAACTGAATAGAATGTCTAGGGAATGTTACAACCCACTAACCAGTGTTTCTTAGCCCACTTCAAGGAAAAATTCAACTCATTTGGATTAAAAAAGAAAATATTGTGTATGACAGTACGCAAGTTAGATATAATGAATTCAAAAACTGACTCAATTAACCAAGAGTTTGATAGGTCTAAAATTAAAGTGAGTGAGATGGAAGAAAGGACATAATTAACAGAAGACCACAGCTACAGGATTTAATAGAGTGAAAAAGAAATTGCCACTTTAATTAAAAGCAGTGTCCCACTTCATTTCTTTCTACTGGGAAATCATGAACAGATATTCTTATAGGTGGTAATTTACATATGTCAAATCTGTGGGTTGATGTAGCATAGGAAAAGTCCAATTTTTTTAATAGGTTTATTCACACAAGCACTGGTCAAGTCCATACAAAATAAGATTATTCTTCAACACAATGGGTGTCATAAAGGTTAGATGAAGGATATCTTACATACCCTTGGATTTATTATGCTCTCAGATTCTCCTACAACAGAACATTTTCTGACCAGGATCCAAAATCTTTCTGAGTAAAGAATGATATTTTCAATCAGAGGATCCCAATCGAACACTGATCAAAAAATTTGCAGTTAAGAGGTACTGCAAAATTTTCACTGACTGCTGACATGAATTTTAGATCATTAAAATATATCAGACCAACCCTCTGGGCAAAACCAGTAATACAGAAATTCTAGTTCAGATATGTAAGGAGACTGCTACAAATGAATACACAAATAGTGGTACCTTCTGCCCCACAGCTTCTGGCAGCCAAATATTAAATATTCTGCAGCTGTAAAAATTGTGTTTAATTTAGTATTTCTGTCTTCTAGAGCTAGATGACAGCCCTATTCTTAGTATATTTTACATTCCCAGTTTACTTTATTTCTATCTGAGTCTCTGCTGTAAGACAGTAGAGTCCTCAGTGCATATCCAGCCAGTGACCTAGCCAGCATGAGTTCATCCAGGGATTTGTGAGACCTACAAACCACCTCTGCTGCAAAAGACTTGTGTATGCACTGCCACAGACTGATTGAACAAGATGATGTTTCCTATACCGATAAAATATTACAGAATTAACATGCCCTCTAGGATGAATTTTTCTTCAGACCTGGCCTTTTTGGTTATTTTTCCCGCTATACTACTAAAACATGTGATGCTAGCCTTAAATGCCTAGGAAGGAAATCTGTGACTTGAGCCTGACTTCAGCAAAATCAATGCAAGCAAGGGCTGCTGCAGTCTAAGCACACATAGGTTTAACCAGATAGTTTTATCTAGTTAAAGTAATGTAACTATGGACGCTGATAATCACTAACACTGTCAGAGAATATTGGCATGAGCAACTCAGCTCTGGAGAACTGCTTGCACACTTTTATGAATTCAGTCAGGCAATTTGGAGTGAACTGGAACACTGGCGCTCTCGTCTCATTCCCAGTTGCAGTTCCGCACAGCTGTAGTCAATGGCCTGGGCAGCGTGAGCGAAAAAGGCAATTCTTTAACAAACCTGAGTTTTTTTCAGTCTTCTCCCGGCTTTCTTGAAGAAATGCCTCAGTTATCATAACCAGTTCTAAAGCGATAGAAGTAACTGGATTTCTCTATGCTTTTAGCCATTTTTCAGTTCCTTCCTTAAATACATATCTGACATCAGAAAGTAACCAGTATTTTTTCTTGAAAAAAACAGACATTACTTTGCCTAAAAGGCATTTTCAGATTATGTCACAGAAGAGAAAAAGTTAAACTTTACACCATAAATTCTATTTACACATCTTCTAAATTTGTAAATTTAAGGAAAATTACAAGGGTTTGATACTGACACACAAAAGTCCAACAGATACTGTGGTCACCTAAAAACGGGTGTTGAAAGTATTTCAATATTCTAATGAATTTAAATGGGTATTAGTTTAGGAACTCTTTGACTAACCAAATATTTAGGACTATTTGACTGTGCTTGTCCATTGTTTCGAAATAAATAAATAAATAAACAAGCTTCCATTTCCACAGTTTAGAAATTTACTTAGTTTCTTTTAAAAAAATCTGAAAACTATTAGCAAAGGCAGTTTTAAGAAAAAAATAAATCTTCAAAAGCTAGTACAACTATGGTCTTTATAACATAGTACATCAGATTCTTTTTGATCAAAGCAATCCAAAACATTTAGGGAAAGTAATATATATTTTAACATCTGAGTTGAATTACATATGACCAAAAAAAGTACTGATATGTTAATTCTAACTTCATTTTTATCACCTTTTATAAAACACAACTCAAAAGACATAACTCTTCTTTGTTCATCAAAGATACTCAACTTGCAAATAGTGTTCACAAACACATGCCCAATACAATAATATATACAAACATTTGAGAAAATACCTACTGTCTCTGAAGGATAAAGTTCCTAAACATGACTTATTTGTAGTCCAAGCTTCATCCTGATCTAAAAATACCACGAAAATCACACCAGGAAAATGTTTGCAAATCTCTGGACATTAGAAATATCAGCGAAACAGTTTCATTTTAGTTTGACAATAATATGCTACATTTTTTTGCTAGACTACATATACGGCAAATTTTAATAACATTTGCATAATTTCAACATGAACATAGGTCCATTTACATAGGTTACATAGGGCAAATTAATGCAGAGCCATCCTCTTGTGAGAGTGCCCTTAATCCCAATTGCCCGCTTAAACAATAAAATGTAATTAGCTGTGCTGCTTTCAGGAGAGGGTTCTTTATTAGGGATGCAATTAAGTGTCATAATAGGCTGAGAAAAAAAACAGCCTGGTTTCAGATGCATTCCATTTCAGAAAACAAATTAAAAATATTGGTTTACAATTTTTTCCTATATGATTCATTTTCCAGTAGAGCTGGTCTGTAAATAGTTATGTAAAATTAGCATACTTTATTTTCTAGGATGACCTTTGTACTCTTGACAGATTTGTTACCTTACCATATAAATGCTTTGCATTCAAAGCATTTACAGTCTCTCCGCCTTGCCGCAATGAAAGAGCTTTTCAATTATTTTTTAATTGCAGAAAAGCTAAATGAAGTGTGCACTACTCAGGCAATTTGGCTTTCTTATTACGAAACACAAGGGGGATCCTGACTGAGCTCTATATATTGCAATGAGTAATTTCTTTCCCTTTGTTAGGGTATGGAATGATTTTAACGTTTTATTTTTAAGTACAACAGCATATGTACAATTTAAACCAAATTTTTAAAAAGTTTGCATGCTTTTCCTTCTATTTCTGAGAGAGTGAAGCATTAATACTACAGTAGCAATGTTATCTGAACCGTATTTTTTTCTTACTCTTCTTAGTGGTTGGTTTGTAATATATTCAGGGAAGATTTGCTGATTTTTTCACAGGATGAGAAAAAGATTCATCCATTAAATCTGAATCTTGAGCAAGAATGAATGTGCAATGCCAGAGGTCTGGGCTAGGTGTCTGCTGAAACAGGTTTTGATTAAACAAAACAGATTTAAAAAGAAGTTACAGAACTTGAGCTCTATGGAAGTTTTTAGTATTTGCCTCTGAAAAAAAATTCCTTCTTTTCTTCAACAAATTAGTAACAGAACACAAAACTGTGGTATTTTTCTTAGATATTCCAATTTAAATCTTCCACATGAAAATCACATCCAGATCAGGTTAAACACATCCTAAAAATAAATGCAGGGCAAGTAGAAGATGCAGTTGGGAGAATTTAGCTTCTTCAACCTTGAAATGATGTTCCAAAAAGTATTGAATGACAGGGTCATCCTGAGAATGGCAAAGACCTTTCAGATGCAGATTTATTAATTTATCAAGGAAAACTTTTAGCACCGGGCCAAGTCTATAGGTCAGCATAAAACAGTGATGATCTTGACTATGTTCTGCTTGTTTCTGATTTCCTGGGGGCCTTTATTTTACTTACCATATGGAACAAATATTGGGTTGTTGGTTGGTTTCTCTCCATGATGTGTCAGTATTTTCAGGTACTACTTGAAAATGGGAATGAAACACAAGTGCTTTTTAACAACAACAAAAAAACCTAGATGATGTCCATTGGCCTCACTTTGAGTATCACTATACAATCTTTCTGTGAACTTTTCACTTTTTCCTTCTTGTGCTACAACAGAGTAGCAGTACTCAATGCTCTCACTCCACACAGACAGATGAAAACTCTTCTCAGGCTGAGTGATCACATCTTCTAATCTCACCTCAGACTTCCATTTTTTCTTAAATACCTTTAACTTTTTGTAAGGTTTTAGAGGCCTCCACTCTAGGTTTTATACATATTTGATATAAATGATGTTTCACGCTGATAAGTGGGATCTACATATATTTTGCAGTGAAGACTTCTAAGCTATCATTATTTTGAGGTTAGATTCATCATCGGAAAGATTCATAACACTGACAAACTCCCTATAACACTCCTTGTGAAAGTTTGTGAAGGGTATCAAATGACATTCTGTACTTGACTATATTTTGTTGTCATCAGAACAGCCTTGCCTGCATGGAGTAAAACGCCTGCAGAGAGTACAGTGACAAAACTATCCTTACAGATTAAAAGGAAAAAGTAAAACAAGAATTGCTGTATTAGAAACCATGAGGTCTTGGTAGCTGGAGACAAACAGTGGTGCTTTCCTGCAATGCACAGATAAAACTGAATTCAGATCTGCTCACTTGAAGGAATCTTTTGATCTCGGCATTCCTCTAACATTCTCATCTCCACTATATAAACCATGAGCTAACGTGTTTCTTACTCAAGGGTTTTGTATTGCCTGTTCCTCATGAGCTCCTACTTTCCGCACTTCCTGGGTGGCCAGAAATTGAGAAAAAATCTTAAAGGTGATATGACAAGCACCACATACGAGCAACTAGGACTGGAACTGAACTATGATAAGCCACAACATAGCCAGAAGAAACAGATTGGTAGGAGTAAGTGAAAAATGTTATATATCTGGACGTGCATGAAGAAACGTGGACAGGATTCCAAGTTGCTAGGAATGTGTGATTCTTTGCTTTCTTTTCCTCTGTTAGTTACTCTTCTTGTATGACTTTGGCAGCTGTGATTAATACAGTCAATGGGACCTTAAGTCTTTGACTCTTCATGGGATGCCACAGCTCCAGAAGACCAAGATCTTTGGTCCTCAAATGGTTGAAGGCTAAGAAGAATGAGTGCCATCTACTGGCTCCCAGTTTGCCTTAGAGATTATCATTGCCAAATTCATAAGCATAACTCATGACCTGGGTTTACAAGATGTGCTAAATCACTCCAGAAGAGCGCCACGAAGGTGATGAGAGGACTGGAGCACCTCTTTTATGAAGACAGGCTGAGAAAGTAGGGGTTGTTCAGTCTGGAGAAGAGAAGGCTCCAGGAAGACCCTATAAGCAACTTTCCAGTAGCTAAAAAGGGCCTACAAGAAATGTGGAGAGGGACTTTTCACAAGCACATGTAATGATAGGACAAATAAGAATGGCTTTAAACTGAAAGAGGGTAGAGTTAGATGAGATATTAGGAAGGAATTCCTTACTGTGAGGGTGGTAAGGTCCTGGCACAGGTTTCCCAGAGAAGCGGTAGATGCCCCATCCCTGGAAGCGTTCAAGGTCAGATTGGATGGGGCTCTGAGCAACCTGGTCTAGTGGAAGGTGTCCTTGTCCATGGCTTCCAAGTGGCTTTGGAACTAGATGATCTTTACGCTCCCTTCCAGCCCAAAACATTCTATGATTCTATTATATGGCTGCAGGCACAAGGTTTATACCTGTTCTTTCGTATCCAACTTGTCCTTGATTTCAAATACTAATGTGAGATTCCACATGAAAGAGCTCCAAAGAAAACAATTTACATAATTTTAACATGATTTGACCACCAACAATCTGATGCAGATTATATCCACTACTAAGCATAATACATTATACTAACACAAGAAAAGCAATTAAAAATCAATTTTTCCTTGTAGTATGCATGTCTAAAGCCAGAAGAAATCCATCTCTATTACTTTGTTCATCTTTTACCTATGAAAACTACTGATCTCACTAGTTTTTGAAAAGTCAGAGATTTTTTGTCTATGTTTTAAGCTGGTTTATGCTCTACAGCAACAAGCCATTTAAACTGACTGCTGGGTTGGGAAAAGAGAAATATGTCAATCAGCTCTTTCTACTATAATCAGTGATTTGTAAATACCTTGTTTTCACAGCTTCTTGATGGTAACAAAAGCTGAGATCCAGCATGTACCTCTTTCAACCTGAGCTAGGCCAGTTTACATTTCCCCAAATGTAAACTGTCCACAGAAGTCAATCTACAATCTCTGCTTTTGATCTAGGAAGCATCTGAATGACTCAAAGTTAAAAAGCTGTAAAGGAATTCACCACAGATTTCATACAAAGCATTTTGGTCATCTGTTATGTTCATAGCTTCATGGTTTGTAAATTAACGCATCTTCTATCAGCATTCTCAAAATGCCAAGGGCTTCAAAACCAGAGGGAACGACCACAAAGGAAGTTTGAATGATACACAACTAATTCCTTACAAAATATTCAACAACTGGTTCAAGCACCAGGTTTCCTCAGTTTTACAGAGAGCAGACAGGATGTTGTGAAACAAAGTCACAGATAAAATCAAAGGCTTGGTCAAGTTATATTTGCAGATCTCTCCATTCTGTTTTTTTTCCCCATACTTAATCTCCTAAATGATCCAATTTTTTACACGCTACCAAAAAAAAGTAGAAAAAAAAGTAGAAACTGACACCAGAGACAAGTCTACATAAACCCTATCAAAAGCTGAAAACAGTAATTTAGAAATACTTGAAAACTGCTGAAAAAGGTAAATGGTTTTTTGCTGCCACTGCAAAATCTCCAAAAAAACACAGGAGACACTAAAAGAGAAAATAGCTATTTTAACATTATGAAAACACTGGGAAAAAAAAATAACAGAACTGTGAGAGGCAGAATGGGAAGAGAGAGCAGTAAATAGCCTAGAACATGCTGGTGCGATTTTGGAAAGCTGGGTAAGTAATACAGAAGTCCTCATATGTACATTCACAGAATCACAGAACATCCTGAGTTGGATAGGACCCACACAGATCATCCAAGTCCAACTCCTGGCCCTGCACAGGACCATCCCCAAAAATCACACCATGTGCCTGAGAGTGTTGTCCAAATGCTTCTTGAACTCTGTCAGGCTTGGTGCTGTGACCACTTCCCAGGGGAGCCGGTTCCAGAGCCCAACAAATCTCTTCACAAGTGTGAAGAACCTTTTTCTAGTATGCAACCTAAACCTCCCCTGACACAACTTCATTTCCTCAAGTCTTGTCACTGGTCACCACAGAGAAGAGATCAGTGCCTGCCTCTCTGTTTCTCCTCGTGAGGAAGCTGTAGACTGCAATAAAGTATCCTCTCCAGATCTTTCACCATCTTCATTGCCCTCCTTTGGACACTCTCTAATAGCTTTATATCTTTCTTATATTGTGGTGCCCAAAACTGCACACAATATTCAAGGTGAGGCCACCCCAGTGCACAGCAGAGTGGGACAATCCCCTCCCTCGACCGGCTGGCGATGCTTTGCCTGATGTCCCCCAGGACACAGCTGGCCCTCCTGGCTGCTGGGGCACTGCTGACTCACGTTCAACTTGCCATGGACCAGGATTGGACACAGCTGGCCCTCCTGGCTGCTGGGGCACTGCTGACTCACGTTCAACTTGCCATGGACCAGGATTCCCAGTTTCCTTCGAATAATCATCACTCAGTCCCTGACATTTAGGTACAGTGGCATGGCAACTATGTCCAACCGTGAAGCCACGCTCACATTCGTCCTTCAGCAAGAGCCAGGCCAAGCACAAACAGCAGCAGACCCACTGCACGCTCTGTACAGAAGAGCACAGGACAGTCGGGGCAGCACTACCATTCAGGTGCCCTCGAGGAACTGCAGGAAATGACACTGGGAAGCAGGACAGGTGTAAGTCCTACAGAATCACAGAATGGGTCAGGTTGAAAGGGACCACAGTGCATCATCTGGTCCAACCTCCCTGCTCCAGCAGGGTCATCCTAGAGCACATGCTACAGGATTGAATCCAGATGGTTTCTAAATATCTTTAATGAGGGAGATGCCACAACCTCTCTGGACAATCTGTTCCAGTGCTTGGTCACCTGCACAGTGAAGAAGTTCTTCCTCACAACCAGGTGGAATTTCCGGTGCATCAGTTTCTGCCCACTGCCTCTTGTTCTATTGCTTGGCACCACCGAGAAGAGCCTGGCTCCATCTTCTTGGCACCACTTCTTTAGATACTTATACACACTGATGAGGTCCCCTCTCATTCATCTCTTCTCGAGGCTGAACAGGCCCAGCTCTCTCAGCCTTTCCTCATAAGACACCTGGATCCAGGGAAAACAGCCACACCCCCGCCACCAGGGGGCGCCCCAGCGGACCCCAGCGAGCCTCGGAGCTTCCCACGTGCATCCTTCCCTCCCCTTCCCGCCGCCCTCGCCCACTGCCCGCCGCCGCGGGCGTGAGCCGACTCACGCAGATGGAGATGCGGAGCACCCCGCGCCGGTAGTCCCGATACAGCTCCGCCGCCTCCCCGTTGCACTCGATGCAGCGGTAGGCGCCCGGCGCCGCCATGGCGCGCGACACCACCCCCCGGCCCTCTCGGCGCTCCCAAAACCGCAGCCTCGCTTCCGCGTTCGGGGGCGCGGCCGAGCCGGACCGCGCTGCCCTGCATTCGGGGAGTTGTAGTTCTCTCGCCGCCACCACCGGCCGGGGCTCTCCAGCAGAGAACTCCATGTCCCAGGGGGCAGCGCGGCGGCGGCTCCGCGGGAGGGGCAGCGGGGGCGCCCCGTGTCCTCAGCGGCGGCGGCGCGCATGCGCGCTGCGAAGATGGCACCTGCCGGCAGTGCGGCGTGGGGTCTGTGTGCGCTGCTGGCCCTACTGGCCCGGACCGCGCTCGCCCTCACCGAGCGATACGCACCGCTGTCCCTGCTCCAGCAGGAGCGGCACCGCCAGCGCCACGGCCCCGCGGGCGAGTGGGTGGACCAGTACTCGGCCGAGTGCGGTGAGTCGGGGGCGTCGCCGCGGTGACCGCCCGCCCGCAGCGCCGGGGCGGCGGTGGCGGGGCCACAGGACCGGCGGCGGGGGGCGGCGGTGATGGTGATGGTGGTGGTGGTGTTGAGCCTGGGGCGGTGCGGGGTTCCGGCGGCCCCTCGGCTGTGCGTGCCGCTGCCGCTGAGCTGACTCATCCCGGGGCATCTGCCGTGCGAGCGGCACCCCCGAGCAGCGCGGAGCGGCGGCTGCGGCGCCGGGCACAGGGAAAGCTCTCGCCCCTTGCACGGAGAAGCCGTACGGCGTGTGGTACCCTACGGGAGGATTCCCGCTGCCCCAGTCATGTCCCGAGCCTGGCAGCTGGACTCTGCCTGCTTTGTAATCCCTGCCCTCAGGAGTGTGGGGACTTGCCAGCACCTTGTGCTCGCTGAGTTTCTTAGCACAAGAAAGACAAGGAGCTGCTGGAGAGGGTGCGCTGGAGGCCCACAAAGATGATAAGGGGTCTGGAACATCTCACTTAGGAGACACTGAGGAAGCTGGGCCTATTTAGTCTAGAGAAGAGAAAACTGAGAGGGAATCTCATTTATGCATTTAAATATCCCAAAGGTGGGTGCCAAGAGGATGGTGCCAGGCTCTTTTCAGTGGTGCCCGGCAGCAAGACGAGAAGGAATGGCCATGAACTAAAACACCAGAAGTTCCACCTCAATATGAAGAAGAACTTCTTTACGTTGAGGGTGGCAGAGCACTGGAACAGGCTGCCCTGGGAGGTCATGGGTTCTCCCTGTCTGGAGACATTCAAAGCCCACCCAGACTTGTCCTGTGTCACCTGCTCTAGGTGACCCTGCCTTGGCAGAAGGGTTGGACTAAATGATCCTCAGAGGTCCCTTCCAACCTTAAGAATTCTGTGGTTCTGTGAGTTGGATGTGGCTTGAATTGTTTTCAGCTACAGTTACGTGTACTTTGCTGGTGAACTGGATGCTTCTGTTTATGAGAAGTTCGAGTAGCAGGCCTTCTGGTCTTTTTCAAGTTAATTGATGGCTTGTAATACAGGCACAGTTAAAACTATTTTTGTGTGCTTCAATATCTTTTGCATCAGGAGCATATGGCTTAATCTCTTGTGATCATTGATTGTGAGCATGGTCTGAATGGACCATAAAAAATGCCAGTCTGAATCACAGTGTACACATAGTACAGGTGAAGAAAAAGATTTATCAGTTCATTGGAATGTAGACACTATATTTATAGGAGAATAATCAGTAATGTGTCATGACTTCTTAGCTGTCAGGAGAGTTTTGTGATTTTCCCCCTCTTTACTTCATAAAGCCTGTGCTCACATCAGCAGTTCTTGTGGTCCTTAAGAATTAATACACAACTAGTGTAATCCACTTGAATTACAGACTTTGTAGAAATACCTTGTTATGTGTTTGCTGCATCTGTGCTTTTTCTTCTCCCCTCCTCACCCCCCCCCCCCCCGCTTTGTGTGTGTATTTTTGTCTTCACATTATATAGTTCTTTGGTTAGTTTTTATCACTGGTTTTTTTGGGGGGGTGTGGGTGGCAGCAGTGGCTGAGAACCACAGTATGTAAACACTGAATCAGATTGTGAAAGTTATCTCGGATAACCATTGCTACACGTTATTCAAGTTTGAGCATAAATCCAAGAAGACTTTCACCCAGTGCTGAGATCAAAATCTGTACACCATACAAGTTAATAAATGGCAAAGCACTTGGTTACATCTGTTAGTAGACTTGACGTGAATGATTGACTCAGGATACTCCTTCAGAGGTATATATGGAAGATTAGATTTTGATTTAATGGCGGATGTTGTTTTAAAGAGATCAGTGTAACTGGGATTGATACCAGGAATTCCACTGAAATCATCAGGTACCTCAGGTACTTCACATGCACTGGTAATAAGATTGTCCTTAATTACAGAACTATATACTTATCTTGAAATAGCTGTATACCAATTCACTTCTTGCTGTTTAAATAGCATGACTAAATAAATTGCTCTTTGAAAAATCCCTTTAAGCTCTTGGTCTTTGTTTTAGTACAACTTTCACAGAAGCTGAGATTCTTTTTGTCTCAAGTACTTTTTCTTGTAGCCTACTACAAGGTCCAGGGTAATTTCTTTGGTTGATGTTTTTTGTTTTTCATAAAGTTAATAATATGGTACAGTTTTGATTGTATCTGACTTGTAGACAAAGGCAGATCCATTCTTCCCTGTGAGTAAAGCAGTTTGTTGCCCCCAAAATTGCAAGATACTAGGAGTCCTTTCTGCGCTATAGCTTATAACAGGTAGGCTGTTCTTATTCCCTGCCACCTTATTTAAAAATTCCTTCACTGAATTTTTGCTTCTGTGCAGAAAACTATTCTGGAGGTAGGCCACACCTGCACCTCTTTGTTTTGGTTTCTGAAGTGAAAATTGCTCTGTGAGTCTGCAGCCAAAACTCCTGTCACTGATTTACAAGCACCAACACAGAAAAAGTAACGTTAATAACACTGCCATGGCACAGGAGGGTTTGGCCAACGTGAAGAACAAAGGACAGTGTTGAAACCTGGAGTCTTTTTGGCAACTATCGGATTTTCTGACTTTATACTTTGACCTTCTGCTTTTTAGCACTCTTAATGATGTTGTAAAACTGGTTATCATTTTTGACTCAACATAGCTCCAAGTCCCTATTTACAGGAAATTATTTTAGATGCTGTTTTGACTTTTCTTTGTAAGTTTCTTTTTCTCTTTTAGCTCTGTGATTGTGAGAAGCAGGGAATTAACTAACTGCAATCCTTAAGTCAAAGAGCTCACTGGCCCCCAGCCTTTCAAACTTAGCGTCGAGCTTATATTTACAGACATTAGGGGAGATGATAAAATTTGATATTTGTGACCTGGATTCAAAGAGATAATACTTTATATCTGCTTTTTCTTATTTACTCTTGAAATATTTCAAGATAATAGAAGCTTTAGGACCTGAAGATTTAGAGATATCAATTTTGCAATTAAAGCACCATATAGAAGAAATAGTAACTTCTATAGTGTGTCAGTCTGGGAGAATTTTTTATTTTTGTTGTTACTTGTTTATTTGGTGTCTTAAACTTTTTCTCGACAAGCTGTGTTAGACTTTTTATAGATTCGAATCAATCCTACCCTTTTTGTAATGCCCTTCTTGGCATACCCATGGGAACTTTTGTGTATGGTCAGTCAATTACAGTTTGCTATTCTGGCGGCTTTTCACAGTCTTTATATCTCTGTTTCTTGGATCTCCAACAGCAGCTCTTTCCCTGCCTCTGTATGGTCCATTCCATTTATTTTCCTGTCTGGGATTGGAATGATAATTTTATTTGTTATTTCTTGGGTGAGAGAATGGAATCATAATGCTAAAACGAGACGTGTCTGCCCCAAAGTTTTGATATTTGCTTCCAACTTCCTCCTTTTTTTACCTCCACCCCCTTTTTTAGCACCTTTTTTTTTTTTAATTTGTTTTTAGCCAAAAACAAGCATAAGTAGGCATAAAACTAACTATATAAAAGCAGTCATGTAAACTATTGCTACCCTGGCTGTGTGGATGTAGTGCTGTGAGCAGAAAGCACTCCATGAAAATTCTGCCCTGTGGAGTGCCCAGTGGGGAAGCTGTTCAGCTGAACATGAGATGTGAGATGTGATAATAAAACACACATGTAAGGTGTTCCTAAAGGTATTTTCTCTCTTTACCTCCAGATTCATCGTTTTTGCACTTCCATGAATCGGATTGTGACATAGGAGGGTCATCGTCTTGTGAATCCGTGCTTTCTCTGAACACAGAGAAAATTCTGGTATGCTATCAAGAACATAATGTACAGAACAATTTTAATAGATTATTGAAGTTGCAGATCGCTTTTGCTGCTTAAGCAGTTAGAACGAAGTTCAGGGAAGTAACTATGCATACAATCTATTAATCAGTAGGTGTAGGCGCCCAAAAGGCTTCAGTATGAATGAACTCACGTTGCCCATAAAAGTATTACTTTGTAGTGCTCCATCATGAGTCTGTAGGGCAGTCAACTAATTGAGGCTGATGTTTTCACTGAAAGCTAACCTTCACCTCAATTAGTCAACTGATTAATTTGTTGCTTTTAGGGTTGCAGGGACTATGCTTGAAATAGGGGAAGGTGCATTAGTTTTTACCCAGATTACCTTCCTGAGTTTTACCGCAAAGTATGTATAAGAGCAGGAGTAATGACTTGCAATTGCTGCAGAAATAACATTGTGCAAAGATGAGAGTTAGAGGCTTCAGGCCATATTTCTGTAAATGTAATGCAGACATGGCATGTAGGGAATATTCTAACAGAAGAAGAACATTTCTTGATAGAGAGACTTCAAGAGGATTATCTTGTAATTTGAGTTTTCTTGCAACACTACTGTTAGCCTTTTGATCTTGGACAAATATAATCTTCAGTCTACGTCAGAACACAGGTTTGATGTTACTTTTTCAGTCCATTAAAGTCAGAGGTATTGAAAATTTTGAAATAACTCCCATATGAATATACAAATAAGCCTTGGCAAATTTGTAGGAATTATTGGCTATGGGGGAGCGTGGAAACAAAATTATAATT